TCACAGTGGCAGCTCAGCCCATTCCTTTACCTTTTACCCCACAGTTTCCAGGCCTGTGTAAGTAACATTAACTCTGGTCAGGCTTCTGCCTCTGCATTGATCACAGGGGAATCTGAGGTGTCCTCGGAATCAGTACAGGGAAAAATTTGCAGGAAGAAAACAAAAATGTGTCAAGGAATGTGATGGGTACAGCAGAAAAACATTTGTTTGTGAAAGAATATATCTGGTCTTTGTTTATAGTACACAATTAAAAATTTTTTCCTTAATCCTTTTATATATATATATATATGAAGCCAGATTTTGGAAAGTGTGCCCTTTTTTTTTTTTACTTTTCCCACATCTTCTATGCTATCAGAAGTGTAGAGATGTTACCTCATAAAGCACAAATACCTGGCAGATAACAAAATCTAGGTCTCTAAGTGCACTCAGTTCCATGCCTTATTCTTAAGCTATATCTAATAAATGAGAACAGTTTAGGCTCAAATACCTCAGGTATGAGACACATCCATTTAAAGGAAATCAGAGGCTCAGTTCTGAGTGTTTCAATCCCTCTGCATGTTCCATACATACACCTAGGAATGCTTGCATTAATCAACGTTAAGATTTCTTTAAACGAAACTAAACCTCAATCCCAACATTATTATGTATGTAATCTACATATGATTACATCTTAAAATAATTTAAACCCTGTAAATCATTCTTTTGTTCTGAAAGGAGATCTTTAATTATGGCTACAGATATTTATTAAACTTCCTAAAACAATCTAGAAGAACAGTAAGTTTCCTGGCTTTATTGTAGCAAGCACTATTCATTCCACAGGCACTGGAAGAACCATCACCTTTATTCAATTCAAAGTTGTATTTTGATCTATATCTTCTAATTAAAAGAAAAATAAATCATTAATTGGTTTTCAGAAAGACCTCAACTGTTTTTCAGTAACACCAAGTGGAAGCAGAAGAATTTCTATAACACTTTTGTCATTAATGAAAATAATCCGATTTTTAAAGTAGTAAGATTAGAAAATACTTCTGTAGTAGAGGCAGATTTATTAAGGATACCTTATGCATACTAATTTATTATTCCCTAACAGTTAAAATCTGGAAACTTCTAAAGGAAAAGTGTTTTGTTCAAAAGTTAAGCTTTGTTAAAAAAAAATAAATTCATTCTGCTTATCCTTATTGCATAGAAAAGTCTTGTGACTCAGCCTGACAGTCCTTATTAGTACAACACACGTTTGTTACTGTTTTCTTTTGATGTAATCTTCCTAAGAGGAGGAGGAACTGTATTTTAACAGCTATCCGAGGGCATGTTTTATAGGCACACAGCACAGAATTTGTGCCTGAATATAATCTGAATCTCATCCATAACTCTGATTTGGCTGGGAGAACAAAGCATTTCATTGTGTATTCAGTGATGGTTTCAGCAATCTTACTCACACATTCCTTCCTCTCTCAATCAACAGAAACCGGCTGAATTCAAGATCCATGATTGGGGTTGGGTGGGTGGGGGGGAAATAATGCCAAGGCCTCTAGTTTTGAAATCACCATTTTGTTCAGAGCAAATAATAATCCCTCTCCTCTTAAGAATCTCTTGATGCAACACTTGTCAAGCTGTTTTTTGCACCATGTCCTTTCCTACTGAACTTTGCTCTGTTCCCTCTTGGCTGGCACGGGGCTATGCCTGTGCCTCTGCTGCTTCCACTTCTGGCAACTGAGCTTTGCAGGGATCACAGTGCACAGTTTAGGAACCACTGCCTTGTGCAAAGGTTAAAGGTCTGAACAGCCAATCTGAAAACCAGCGATTTTGAACCGGCAGAATATTGCAATGTGTTCTTTTGAATTGTTTTTCCTTACGCACGTCATAAACAGAAATTAGGGCTGTAAAATAAAATCAAAGTGCACACAGCTCTGATTCCTGATGCTGTACTTTGTAATGCCATCTAAAGCCAAGTCTGCCCATTTATCATCTACCTTCTTAATTAGGTTTACTGTACTTAGTTGTATCTCTAAAAAGCCTGCATTCCTAAGGAGTGTGAATCAGGAACGCACAAAATGGCTGTTTTTATAAAACACTCTCTTCTATGAAGATATTCTTTCATTTGGAAGCATTTCTTGGCACTAGAGCTCAATGAGGATGTTTAAAACATTTTGTGTATTATTTAAAATAACTTTTGCTAAGGAATGGAAGAACACCTACCTGAACTTATGCAGTCAAACTGTGCTTGCAGATGCATCGATGTAACTTAAGAGAGAATTTGCCCATTCCTTACCAAGTGACCATAAACAGTGCTTGTTGACACAATAAGGTCTGCGACTCCTCATCTTGCTGAGTTATAACATGTACTGTTAGAGCACTACATTTTTAAACCATACTAATATTTATTTGTTTAGAGCAGCATTATTTGGTTAATAAAATATTCAAAACTGATAATCAATAACGCTGAAACCAATGCTTTTACTTTTTATTTTCAGGTCTGAAGTAGAGAGTACAAGCTTGTGTATGTTTTCTTACCAGTGTTACATGGCTGAAAGCTGTCAGCTGTTCACATGCCATATTAATAAATATGCCCAAATCATAAAGCTTTAACTGTATTTGCACATTGCTTTTATTACTAAACTGTTTTATTCATCTTGGCACAGATAATCCATGCAAGGGAGTTACTCACATCTCATAAACCACACTACATTCTGTTCTGAAATAACTAGGAACTTAGGAAAAAATATATATCTAAAAGCAAGGGCACTTGTGGCATCAAGTCAATATGTCAATATATTATAAAACCTAGACTTCTAATATATGATCACTGCAGGCAATAAATCACTCAGTTTCAAATTCTCATGTTTATAAATACTAAACAAATTAATATCTGCTTCCAGGAGACAAGTATTGCAAACAAACATTAGCGTGCCCAGCATTAGACACTAATGAGTGTGTTCAGTGCTGTGGACATTCACATTATTAAACATAAATACAAATAACCTTTAACAAAACATTTCACCCCAAATACTGACCACTGAAGGACCAAAGAAAAAAAAATATTTTTCCTTGTTTTGAATTGATTTTAGAACTGTGTAATGTGCAAATCCAATATAGTAAAAATTAACTTCTGAAAACAAGAAGTCCTAAGACTGTTGTTTTTTTTTTTTTTTTTTTCTTTTTGCCCAGATAATAAAAGCAGTCTTCTTTGGAAACATTTAGTTCACCTTGTTCTGCAGAAAGAACACTAAAAGAGAGGAAAGATTTAAGTTAGTTTTTGAAGCCTTAGACTGAAAAGTTATTGAACACTTCTTAGTTCGATAAAAGACTGGTCTTTTTAATTGATCATTCAGAGGTACAGTATCTTTGCTTTATTAGGTAAAACCCCACATTAATTAGAATGAAAAGAAATATTCAGAGGAACTTAGGACTCATCCCAGGCATCTATTACAAGACATAAAACATAAACAAGTACACATTATTAACCTTGCATATTTTTGTACAACATTATGTTCAGTGATAATTGAAAGGCCATGTTTTGAATTTTAGATATATAAATTATATATATATGCATTTTACACTCTCCAAATCACAAAGGTGACACATGGCAGAAGAGTATCAGCAGTTATGTGGTTTGCTACCCCTGTGAATAAAATGCTACATTATTCAAAAATTTCTGGTTCAGATATGTGCAAAAATTATATCTTAACATAGATATCAAGGGTGGCTACGTGGATTCCCTATTTTTGGACCACATTACGAAGCAGCACAAGTCATAACAGGAAATTTTTATTACATGATAATCCTCAGGGTATCTCTGTTCTTCATTCAGAGATACCACTGCACCTCATACAGTGATATGTAAACTAGCTTTAATCTCACTTGCTCAGACACCAGCTGGAGTCAGGGCATGTGCTACAGTGCAGGTTATCTGCCCAAGGAAATTTTCAAGACTCTCTCAAGTTAGTACGGCTCCCATTGAGAAGGAAATTTTCAGGATTCTCTCAAGCCAGTACAGCTCCCACTGAAGTCTGTGCTGCTGCATTTTCCCTGTTGCCATCCCACGAGTTCAGCTCAGCTCTGCTCGTGGACGTTGTGTTTTGTTTTTCTGCAGCACCGACTCCAGGTTTAGTACACTGGGATTGGATCCTTGCTCACCTCTTCTGTACACACTCCTAGTACCTCTCTGGACCATTTTGAGCTACTGGTACCCCAGTTTCTTAATTCAAGCCCTTTCCCTGACTGTAGTGAGTCATCCTGGCTATGCCCCCACCTCTGTTCCCGCTCTGCCCCACCCCAACTACCCAACACGGCAACTTGGTGAAAACGGCCTTACCTGGCTATTCCCCCCACTCCAACCCCAGCTTCAGGAAGGGCTTCCCTGACCTTTTTACACTCAACCAGAGGTCCCCAGAGCCCCCACATTCTGGCTGCTGCAGGAGCTCTGCCTTCTCTGATCCAAGTCTCCCTTCTCCTGCCCACACCAAAAGCCCCGTCTCCCACAGTCCAAGCCAGCAACTCCAGGCTGCCCTGGGCCGCTCCAGCTGCCAGAATGGGCTCCTCAGTGGACTTGAAGGAGGGACAGTCTCAGCCATGCTGTGTCTACCAACAACATGTCCCAGTCTGTGTCCCTGCCCAAGCTGCAGCCTTCCACCTCTGGCCATATCCTAGAACGCTTCATCCTTCACACTGCTGGGGAAGAGGGAGCTTTTAGGGACATGGAGGGGGAAGGTGGAGGGAAAAGGAGACACACAAAAACACACACCTGAAATTCTCCTGAAATTCTCCTGAGGCTTCCATCACAAGCCCTACCATTTTGTGTCTCCCCGTGGAGCCTGACTCCCTGTTTTGATGTTGCAGCCAGAGACCAGTCCCAGTCAGTGGGTAACACAGAAATCTGTCTAAAGGGTATCTTCAATGTAGTCTGAGTATATAGTATGCTGATGTGAATCCTCCCAAATAACAGGTAACAACATCATTTTGTAGAATGACATGGAAAAATTAAAAGGAAATCTAGAATTTTCTCACTGTTGTGAAAATGTGTTTAATGAAGTCAAATATGGGTGGGAAAAACATTTAACTCCCATAATTACTATTTATTCCTCTGGAGAATATTGTGAGCCAGATCTTTGGATTTTGTAACCTATGGAACCATATTCATACCAGCCCAGCACCGACTGAAAACAGAAAATTTGCTTGCTTATAGAAAAAAAAAATAGGCTTTGCATATGATGTACTAGTGTTTTAGACTAATTCATGCACACAAAAATCTGAGCCTGTAGCACTCAGATCAGATCACTGCTACGATCAGTGAAAACTAAGATACCTACTGAATAAATACCAGTCATACATATCAAAACTGCCACAGGCAGCTCAGGTTGCTCTTTTTGTCCAAGATGCAAACTGCCTGCAGCTAACTTAACTCTCATATTAGAACTCCAAATTTCTTTTATTCCTGTCCCAAACTTTGGATCGTTTTTCATTCCTTGAAAGACACAGAAATATCTTAAAATGGGCATTACCCACAGGAGGGGCAAGGCAGACATTGTTATGTCATTTTTTGTTGCTCAAAGCACAAGGTAAAATAGGTGCAGAGGGCACCAGCATGTGGCCCACAGAATGCATCCTCAGCCTCAGAAATACTAGTTCCAAACTGTCAGTACTGCAAGCTGTCAACACACACATCGTAATTCTCACTTAAACGAGTTAATAAAACTTGAATAGTGATCAGACTTTCCATCTTAACTCCATCAGACAGAACTGCTGTCTCCAATGTAAAAGTCATTGCTATTTAAAAATTCAGAAGTGTTATCAGTACTACAAGTTTTGCTTATTTGAAAAAAATCCCAAAAAATGTTCTATAAATAACTGGTTTTGAGTAACTAGAAAGTTTTTCTTAAAATATTAGAAGAAAGATGACTGTATGGTTCTTAGAAAAGATGTCTGTGTGGTTATCCTAATTGTCAGAACCCAGCTACTGTTTTACAATGGTAAATACTGCTACAATTCATGATGTGTTGCATTTAAACTAAGGAAGGTAATACAGAGCATGTGCCTGCTGCCTTATGGATTTTTAATCAGTGTTAATTTACTATAGGACAAAAAGAAAAGCCCTTTTCCCAATTATGTGAGATAGAATAGGGAATCTTCCACTTCCTGGCTGTGCTAGATGGACGTGTTTCTTCTGTATTCATCAACGTGAAGGCCCAGATGTAGATTTCTACCTCCCTCTGATATCAGTGAGAATTAGAAACCAAAGAGACTTTGAATTAATTTATTTTTTTTTTTTTTACCTCAAGAGGAAAGGAAAGCTGATTTCAAATTAAAAGTTGGCCTTTCCAGATAGCTCTATTCCATTCAATGTCAGGGCAATTTGGAGAAAGCCAGTTGTCCTTTTCCATCATGATTTGAAAGTGAACTGATCTACTGTGCACATATAAGCCAAGTGCACTGGCAAGGCTGACCCAGCATGCTTTCCTCAATCTTACTGGGTTATGGAAGGCGTTATTCTGTTTCCACTTCATTTTCAAACTGTTATGGATTGTCACCTAGGCTTCCCAGCTACATATGGATTCAAGGCAGACTTCTTATTTGGAAAGAATCTAAAATATCTGATGCTATGAGGTAGCCCCACAACATAATGGAACAGCGCTCACTTTCATAGAGGAAGCCCTAATCTATTTATTTCCCTTTGAAAGCTATGGCCTTTGGTTCTACAGGTGACTGTACATATGGCACTTACTCATTCTTGCTGTGAAAGAAAATGACTTACTACAAAAGGATTTTTCCAGTCGTTTCTGAACATCAGTGTGTGGTCTAAGCAGTAAAACTGCTGCGGGTAGTTCATTTGAAACTGTATTTGCACATTACTTTTTATATTAAGGTTTTTAGTTAGTTTCAAGATTTTCCCCAGCTGTTGCTCTAATAACAGACTAGTTCATTAGTTCATTTGGTTTCGACTGTTCACTCGGTAGGTTTTTGTGTGAACCTTGCGAAAAAAGCACGTTCTGCATTTACGAAAGAGGATAAAAAACTTCTGAAGTACCAACTTCCTAGCTTTTACCAAGGGAAATGCTAGCCATGGTTATCAACTTTATGATTGCCCAGTTAGTCATCTGTTTTACCCCAGCATTACTGACTACCAACTCTTCTTTTAAACATTGATGGCATGGGCATGCTTCTTGCAGAGTGGCTTATCCTTCTTGGAGTAGAATGGCTGACCTTCCAAATTCACGTGGCATACCTAGAATTAATAATAGATACAATTACGAACAATTAAAAGGGGAAAAAAGAGTGAGAGAAACATGACTATCAGTTTCAACTGTATTTCTCTTCTGCCCATGCATTTCATTGCTAGAAGTGCATCTCATTTCCTGGGTCAAAGTGCATGCCTTGGTAGTTTTCCTACTCCACACCGAGGGTAGGCTCTGGTCTGCATCAGCTCTCCTGTCTGTGCTTTCTGACACCCTTGCCCACTAAGTTTACCGGTACACGATCACCTGGGCAGCTTTGGCACATGCCAGCAGTGTTTGGGTGGACTGTCAAAGGATACTGGCACACTGGAGCACATGCTCTGACTTTCAGAGCTTGATTCTGACCCTTTAATGCAGGGTTTCAGAAAGACTCTGGTCAGGTTCCATGGTCCCAGCGGCACCAGCCTTTCACGAGATCATTAGACACTCATTTCTGTCGGCACTTTTTCTTGGTGTGGGCACTTATGTGATGGAGGAGTGAGCCATTTAGACAGCCATCACTGAGTATTAATGACTTATTCTCACCAGGTTACTCTTCAACCCCAGAGTTCTCTGCCTGGCTGCCTTAGGTGTCGGTGTTGACACAATAAGGCAGTGCTGGGGCGGGGCAGCCCAAGTTTGGGTCAGCTCTAACTGCCCTGGAATTGCACAGGTGTCTACACAGGGTAGTGCAACCCCACTTGCAAGGTCAGGGTTGACCAGAACCACTTAAGGCAGGCAACACGTCACAATCTAGAAATAAGAGCACACATTGTCCCTGATGCTTATGGCAGGCTGAGGTGGCAGCATCAGATGTGCTCCTGTACATTAAGGATATGAGGATGGCATCTCAGAGATCAGGAGTCATGTGCTGATTTGCATTTGACTCAACCCCTTGTGAGAAATAAAGTTAGGTCCTAAAAACAAACCCCACTGTGAGACATAATAAAAACTATCACCTCCACAGAAAACTGGGTAGCTAAGGCAAATGAACAAGCAAAAAAAGAACGTGAAATATTTGGAGAAAGTGTCTTTTATAAATTATCGATATTTATAAATGATTAATAGCTCTCAGTTTGTGAAGGAAACTCTCTTCCTATGTTAGAATTTCCAAAAGACTTCAGTTTTCACAAGACACTTTTGTGTCACTCACTTCCATGTACCCTGAGAGATCAGTAGCTAGTTTAGCTTCAGATATTTATAAACCTTTCTATACTTTCAACTCTTCAACCTAAATTTTAGAGTTAAACAAACATTAGAAATTGTCACTGTCAGTTTGGCGTGGCCAACATACTATTTATAGCTAATTAGGGGTCCTAGATATCATTCCTTTAGGAACTCTATGTTGTAGAGCTGCACAGCAGTATTAGAATCAGATGAAAGCACTTTTATCATATGGATTTTTCTGCTTTGAGTGCAGAGTGTGGGAATACAGCCACCCTCTATAGCTGTGTGCACACCACAGATTGATGAGTTTGACCAACTTCTATGCTAACTACTATTCATTCTCTCTAAACAGACTCCTTTTTGCAAGTTTCAACAAGCATTCTGCATGGAAATACAAACTTTGCTGCTTTGTAAGTAAGATTATGGTTATACTGTTCACTACGGTGTTAATTTATTTTCAATCTTGCTCCGTCTTTATTCGGCAAACACTGGAAAGAATAACAGCAATAGTGGTATGTATTGCTGTATGCACTCTCTAGAACTGGATGTTTTATTAGAAGACACTCACTTGTGATGGTCAAATTTCATAATTCTAGTAAAAGTTTATGGAGGAGAAGAGAAATGACTTCCATCCCTCTCCATCTGCAAGTGAAAAATGAAATTCCATCCCTCCACATCCTCAGGCATATGTTAGCCATTCCTGCTTTCAGGTTTTCTGATGTTACTACACAATTTAGGAGTACAAAGGAATGAGATAGTATTTGGTGTAGAACCTACAGCACAAATGAAGCAGGTATCATGCCAAGTGTGTCCAAGGGCTTCGATGAATTTATCTCCAGCTTCAACAGGATAATCACAGCCATGGCATTTTGTGCTGAACAAAGCAATATAATCTAAAATAAAACAGAAAGCAAACTTAGAACAAACTCTAATGTCATTGTATTAAATCCAAGAGAAACAGAAAGTTTCCAGACAATGAATCTTTTGATTGTTTTTGCTAAGTTTCCAACTACATTCACTGAGACATTCATACTGAAATTTGGTTCTTTTCTTTCATTATTTCAATACAAACTCAGTCCAAAACCCCACGTCAGTATGACATTTATCATCACAACTGTAAAAGACAAACAAAAAAATTCATGGAATTTGAAGTTATGTTTCTCGCATTACTTTTAAATTAGCTTTAATGTACGTGGAATCCATTAATAAGGACAAATATGGTCATACAAAAGAGTCTAATGGCCAGGGAATGTTACAAGTTTTCATCACTGGGTTTATGTTCTTTCTGCATCGAGAGAATATTATGATAACCCCACACTGGCTGATTAATACATCTTTACTTTGATTATCAAGTGTACTTGGGAAAGGCTTGACACTGAAAAAGATGAGTGGAAATTTTAAAGGTATATGGAATTCATGAGAGGCACTAGATGTTACAACAAAACCTCCAATTTTAAAAGGTAAGTACCCAGTCAGTTCAGCTGTGTGGTTTTTATTCTTCATAAGAGTTACTCTGATTTGTAAAATTTGAATTGCATAAACCATAAGGAAGGAATCTCCAGAGGGAAGCAGGCCAGAGGCTCTTTAAATGGACAAGGGGATACAGAGGGAGTATCACTTACACCTTAACCTCCCTCCTGACCACCTCAGGCAGCTCATTTGCATGGCAAGTACCATTTATTAAACCATATTACCCTTTCCATTGTCTGGGAAAACTTGGCCTTTTCCTTTGTTAGTTGGCAAGAAGCAGTTCATTGGTTCTTTCAGCAGCCTGAAAGCAAAATCTGCACTAGCACGTGTTGCACATCTGTGCAGAGCTATCTTTTCATATATGGTGGTTGAACAATTTTAGGGTGAGGCAGCAGCATCAGAGGTCATAACTCAAGTGACTCAGTAGAGAGACTGTGGGCAGTCCTAAAGGAATAATTTTTCATTTCTAGTGAGCAGAGTCTGCCAAGGAAGGGAGCGGGACGGGGGAAAAGGTGCAGGAAGAGAAATGCAAAGTAAGTATCGTAATACATAAGGGAGAGAAGTGAGGTCAGGCATTCTGGGACACTGAGGCAAAGACCAGCTATTCCATCTTACAAACTGGAGAAAAATACAGAGACAGAAACACTTGTGTATGTGGAGAGTGGAAACAAAATCCATGCTGGATGGGCAACTGATTTAATTTTGTTCATCAGCTGCTTGATTCTTATGTTTCTTCCGTGAACATGAAGCACACGATGATGAGCAGAACTTCACAGTTTGCCCTACCTTTCTCACAGTAAGGTTCCCCGTCCTCCATGTGAAACAGGCTATTCCCAAATGGCTTCTTGCAAGCAGCACAGACGAAGCAGGTTGTGTGCCAAGTCTGTCTTAGGGCATGCATCACTTCCTGTAAAACAAACAAACAAACAAAAATCTCCAGCAGGAGAGCAAGCCCTGCCACAGCCTACTGGAGAACTAACGCAAGGCAGAGATGCTCTAAATTCTTCACTTCTGTATCAGCCAATTCCCTTCCTCAAAGAAAGAATTATGACAGAAATTGGGCTCCTTTTGGAGAGAAAGAAGAAACAGGACTGCAAACTTTCTAGAACAATGTATTTGCCAAAATGAAACAACATGGTTCAGCCAGCTGTTTGTATCAACATGCCCAGTTGCTGTTACAGGAGAGATTCTGCACAAAGATTCTGATTCTTTTCTCCTTTGTTTTGTCACGACTAGTACGAACTCTTCAGTGCAAGAATATGATTTGTTAAATAAGTTTTAGAGAATCATTTTCTCTCTAAGACCAAGGATAAGTGATTTAAATCTGTTGTTTCAAAACCATTTAGATTATGTAGCAATTTCTTTATGCTTCTTATGAGAATGATTCACAAACTAATGAGAAAACCTAAAAAATAAAAAAAAAATTCTTAGATTTTAACTTCTGTGATTAGTAAAAGTAAGCCTGTGTGTCTGTTCCTAGACCATGTGTTTAGCACAAAAAACCCTAATTCCGTGCAACTGATGTTCTCTTAAGCTGAGCATCTCGATTTTATCAGCTCCTGACTTCTGTATGGAGCAATCTCTATTACTGCTTCATTCTTTTGTCATTCAGAAGCCTTCCCAGCCCCAAAGCTGCTGTATTGAGCTCTAATGCAGTCACCTGCTAATTTGTCAGTCTTACATGTGCCCAGGATGATTGACAGTGTATCTCTGTCAAACAGTCCAGATTTCAAAGGACCAGCTGTGTAACTGGTGTAAATTAACTTTGTTAACTTCAGTGAAACAGCTCTGATTTATACCAGCTGAGAATCTCCATCCCATTTTATGCTGCTTCCAATTATATGCATAGACTCTGATTCTCTTTTAATTATTATTTTTAATGCCCATTGATTATGACAAAATGCACTGAAGCCCTCTTCCACGCTCTCAATCTAGTGAATAGGCAAAATAGTCTAATTTAGGTTTGCCATATATCTTATTAGAGAATCACCATTTGAGATTCATTAACTTCTGTTTGCAAAACAGCTATCACTGATAAATAGGTTTGGATCCATTTATGAACCTCAGTGAAGTAAGAAGCAAAAAATAGCTGGAGAAATCTCATTAATATAAATAGGGGCAGCTGGCATCTTTGCTGTCTTCCTGATGAAAATCCATAATGGGAAACTGCTTTGTGCCAGCATTCATTAGGTAAGTTAAGTCAGGACTCTGCTGTAAAATGACTCCTACTGCTGCAGCAGCAAATGAGGCTCGGTTTGGTTGGAGCCAGAGCTTCACCATCAATGTCTGATGCTGCCATCCCCAGCTGGCAATTGCAGAGAAGAACATCTAGTCTGTCAATGCCAGCATTTCGACAGACCTCCAAGGTGACAGCTACGCAGTGAAAATGCAGCGTGGTACCCCTTGCTTCCTCACTTGAGAGGGTCATGTCATCTATTCTCTACAACTGCATGCACAGATACACTGCTAAAATTATCTCATGGTATTCCAACCTCATCACCATCTAAGGTATATGGAGAGCAAATTTAGTTGTATATTTACTTGTACATGAGTACTTTAACACAAAAGTGACATGTATTCTTGCTTTTCTGGAATTCAGTCTTTGTATTTGTTCTGTATTTTCTAAACTATAAGAAGCCAGCTGTGTTGGTAACTACCAGAGAGGTGCAGCAAGAGCAATGGGCCTCCTCCCAACATCACTGGCTTCACCACTGAAATTTTGACTAAGCCCTGCGTAAGAAATAAAAACCCAGTTCAAGTCTCTTACTATAAATATAAGGAACAGAGGGATAAAAGCAACAGTGTGTGTATTGGATGGCAAAAAACTATGCAGAAAGTGTTACTTGCTTTATGCTCAGTGAGATGATAACTGGATTACATTTTCTATAAGTTGAATAAATGACAGAAATATCCAAGAGTTCAGATAGATAAAAATTACTATAAAATAATATGTTTCTCATTCTGAAATAATCAACAAGCTGGGAAATAATTCCTAAAAAGGAGGAAATAATAAAATATCTGCATTAATTGCTTACAGTCTGAGCTATTTCACTACTTCAGTGATCTATGCAGCTGGAGAAAGGGTTAATGTTGCTTTCTTACCCCCATGATCTTGGTGTGGCACCTGGCACAGGTGGGTGCAAAGAACTGTTCGTAGCAGCGCTCACAGTACACACTATTCTGCTCCTCCACAAAACACATATCAGCCAAGGATGTCTTGCAGTAAGCACAGTTGAATTCTTCTGGGTGCCAAGAGCGACCCATGGCTACCAGGAAAGGACCTCTGCAAACAATCACAGTTATTTTTATTGCAAAATGACTGAAGGACCCTGATTGCAAACCCACCTTGTCAGACAGCACATACATGTGTAAGAAGCATCTACTTGAACCATGAGGTGCACATTAAAAACAGCCAGAAATGGTCTTTTTCAAGATCGTTACTCAAATACATTGCTGATTGGTTAAAACATTTCATTACTGCTTGGTCCCATACACTGAATTTACAGAGAAAAATCATCAATTGTTTTCATATCTGCATAACTACAACAGGCCTTTGTAAGCAGCTGCAGAGACAACAGGAAAAGGCCAAGGGCTGCAACATAGAAGATAATGCTACTATTTGAAAGCATCAAATAACAAGCAACTTTCTAGACCTACACACCCATACTTCACAATAGCTCCTAAAGTCTCCTGCCTTCTTTCCATCTGAGAGCACTGCATGTTCTGGAAATGCCAGACTATCAGATGACAACTTGCTGTTTCATTATGTGGAAGGCACATTAAATTTGTTTTGGTGATTGACTCTTGATTGTAGTTAGATATAGAGATTGTTACTGGAGTATTTCCATTTTAGAATACATAAAGAGCAATAATCAGCATTTCCACATCGCCAAACTAGCTCCTTTTAGTGGGGAAGACTGTCATTAAACGTGGATTACTTTAAGTTGGATAGCAGTCCACAGGGTAACAGTAGGCACTGGTCCAGCAGAATGAACTGGGAGAGCAGAAGGGAGAGGCATGCTATGAATCACTGCTAATAGAGTGTAGGCATTATCTTTCTCCAGACACAAAAGCAACAGTTACATTTGGCTGCTGTTCCAAAATGATGCCTCGTTCCTTTTCTGTCCATAATCCCCCCTCTCTGCCCCCAGCCCCCCCAACTCTCCCAATTATGTTGCACAAACCTCCTTCAAAGGGTTACCTTAGGACCAGAAACCTGTTTAAAAAACAAGCAGTGATTTGCCACAGCATCCAGGAGACCAACAATTAGCAGGTATAACTTTGCAGTGATAAAAAAGTGAACCGCATAATAACAAAATGAGCTCTGGAAATGTTAAATTAATGAAGCAGACAACAGACATCCCTGCTGGGTAATTTAACAGAGTCTTGGGCTCTGGTACTGTATGTTAATGTACAATAACCAGTCTCTCTGGTATTTTTTTCCTGCTTCATCCCTCCTGAGGACCTCATGCCCTTACCGAATGATGCTGTTGCAGTGGCCACAGAGAGGAGTTCGGCTGCTGGCTGGGAAACGCTCAGCCCTCTGAACTGTTCCCCGCGTCGTGGGAGGCTGGGAAGAAGGTGGAACTGGAGATGGGTAAGCAGAAGTTGAGGCAGGAGATGGCACTGGAGCACCCCTTGGTAGGATGTGCTTTGTGACAGTGGTGGTGGATTTTCCAGGTGCGAATTTCTGGGAAAAGGAGTCATCTGTTACCCAGGGAGGGCGACTCGCAGGCTCCGTGTTGGCTGGGGTGTAGGAATGAACTGGTGCTGGTGCTGGTGCTGTTTTAAGTATCCCAAAAGAAACCAAGAAGCATTTTAAAGTCTTATTCTTCTGATGGCAATACAGCAATACTTACCAAAGGGTACTCCACGACACACAAAAACGAGAAGCTTCAGATGATACTTAATTATTGCCTGTCCCATTATTGCTCATTTATTCTGGAGTGAAGCCCAGGATATCAGCACAATTACTGACTTTTAATCCACATGCATTACAGAAGTCACTGCCTACTGGCTTTTACAGATTTCATGGAGACCATTTTCAAGGTCATCTCTTCACTTTTCTAGTAGGAATGGATATGACAATTCTGTGTTAATTTCAAAGGCTGCCATATAATCTGTCCAAGACAGGTTAAAAACAGAAAGGCCAGATCATATAATAAAGTTTTAAATGGAATTCCCCGGAATTTCCCGAAGTTATGCTTAATTTTTGATCTCATTATGTTCATTCAAATGCAACGTTTTCTACAGATGTCACTGTTATTTATCGTTTGTGGGTTTATTCCTTGCTTTCTGAAGGAAAACAGGCTCACACAGGGAACACGGAGAGCACTGGAAGCAATATTGAGGGAGCCAATTCAGCTCGCATAACCAGCAAGACAAAGCCAACAGCACTTAGAGGAAGGCCAGACTTGTGGTTACGACTGATCTCAGTTCAGTTCTTGACTTCCTGTATAACTCTGAGCAAAGCGTAGTATCTGTGTCTCAGTTCCTGTGTATAAAATAGAATATTACACCTTTTTTTCCTACCCTTTGACTATCAGATAAAATCTTCAGTGCAGACTGCCTCTTGTGTTTGTGTGCACCAGGCTCTAATCTTGGGTGGAGCTTTATCATGTAAAAATAAGCAGGAGCTCCAGCCTGCACATACCGACAAGTTTCCCCAGTGCCCTGCTCCGTTTAAAGTGTCACATCTTGCATTATGTAGGACTGAAGTTACCGCCCAAGAAACAGCCTCACTTTGCCAAGTACAGGAGCACTAAAAGCAGTTTTCCTTTGCAAGGGAAACAAAGTGAACGATTGAAAAGAAGCTTGGACAGTTGAAGTGCTTTGCCCAAATGAGAGAGCACAGATTCAGGACAGAAGCCAGCTCTGCAGCAGTGTAGGCAGACATTCTGCATAATGGAGCCCAGCACCAACAAAGTGATGACCAAATACAACATGGACAGTTTAAGGGGCTTGCAGTTAGAAAGGTGTTTCAACCAAGACAGTTCTGAGTGTAACATGGATCTTTCTGAATAATTAAGTGAGATATTAAGTGGTGAGATTATATTCTACTTAGCATTCCTCCCTTAGCCCACACCCTGCTGCATGGAATAATTTACACTGATTATTAGCAATTTGCAGGTGCTTAAATTGCATATATATCAATCCACTGCAATCACACCTGTGATCTTTTTAATCGAGGTCAGAGTTGAATCTAATGCCTTTTCTTGATAAAACTTTCTTATGCTACAGTATCAAGTTTCTGCTTCATTAAACTGTATCCCACCTTAGCTTAAGGCTTTTTTTTTTTTTTTCACCTGGAAATGGTAAATAGCATTTAAAGATTTCAGAACAGAGTTTATATGCAATCTCTTTAGATCCTGAGGCTGTTGCTATTTATGTATTACGGAATTAAGATAGGCAAAATTAGAAGGTAATATTTCATCTCTAATTGGTGAGTTCAAAAGGCTCCTACCTATGAGCCTCTCTAATTAAATAAGGTGACTTCCAGCTCACTTCATATTGGGAAAGGATTCTCCCTCCCCCAAGAGTGAGTGCTGGTTCATGCAGAGAGAGGATGGCCCTCTATCCCACAGAGGGCCTAACAAAATGGGCAGATATTCAAACCTAGAGTTCCAGAAAGGGAGAACAAATGCAGTCCAGGTACCATTTTTAGGATGTCTTTTTATATTATTGTCCTTACTAAATTCAGCTTACAGGCTCCTTGTTTTCCTTTTTCCTTCCTTAATGTCACAGTGTTGGTGTTCTATTTTTCCAGTTTGTTTATTCCAACCAATAGAAACTGAATATGATTTATCTGAGTTCAGATTAACGTAGATCCCTTTGAAGGGTAAACACTGAGGAAAAGTCTTTGTCTTTCATTCTCTCTACCTTCTATTTATTTTTACTCTACCTTTTCTACTTGCTGTGGTAAAATAAAGCAGCCAAACAGGATTTTTTTTTCTCAGTTACTGAGAGAAAGTACCAGAGGAATTATTGCAAAATGACAAATGGTGGGTGTTTGCAACTGCTCTGAGTTCCCTTTTCAGCTGTTCTAATTTAATAGGCTTGATTTCTTACAATATATTCCCCTCCCCCCGTGAATAAGATGCAACTAGTATTGATTTAAAGTAGTGTCATTGCAATGTATTAGAAAGATTTCACTAACTTTGAGATTTTGGCAATTGTTATTAAGAGCACATTATTATCTTATCATTTTAGAACTATATCCCTAAGCTTATATGAACAACTTTTTTATCTTAGTAGCTACTTGCATACACATTCACCTTGCATGTTTATGTATTTCAGTCTTCCAGCATACATGCAGCAGAAAAAAGGGGCTGTTTGCTGCTAAAAAAGTAATAAGATTCAGTGTATCAGAGAATATATTCTCAAAATATCAGTATTGTACGAGCTGACCACTGCCTGTTAAAAAATTAATAGTTTAAATAATTCAGTGACCTAACCTCTATCACCTTGTTTCTCTCAGCCCCTCAGATTCTCCTAGAGAAAGAAAGAATGAATGGGATTATTTTTATCCTGAGAGAATGGCAGGAGAAGAGGTCTCTTAACAGCAGTAGGAACAAGCCAATTCCTCGCTTCGGGGAATTTGGAATTCTCCCCATCAATGCAGTATCAATGGCTATTTTCCCTCCAGACACAAAGGTATGTTACCCAAGACTCATTTAGTAAAGATTTATATAGTCTCAAATGCTTTTTATTCATAGACCAGCTCACATTGTGAGAACACTGTGAGAACAATTTTCCTTTTTTCCCTTTGTTAGTAGATGACATGAGTTATTCTTTATTATTTTCAGTAACAAATGAAATTCATAACCACAACTGATTTGGCTTGTTCTAAACTTAGTGGCCACATCCTTGAAGCTCAAAGTTTTCCTACATATTGTTACAGCATATAGTAGATGACAGACAAAGCAGGTGCTGCTTTATAAGGAGACACTATCCTTATTCAGAAAAATTAAAAATGAAATTATATGTAGGCTGCTGTTTTAGTAATGAAGGCTTCAATGTAAAGCTCATTAAGGTCTGTGGGAATCCGTCTACCAATTTATTAAAGAGCAGATTAGGCCTTTATGCTTGACCACTTTGCATACACGAGTAGTCCTATTTGGACGTGGGGATTTAAAAAGAAGGATCTGCTTTCTTACACTTAGGTATCATGTTCGTGACACAAAAACTGGCGTTGGAGCTGCTTGGAATGTGAGAAAGAGCGATCCCGGTGTGGGAAAGCCTAGGGGAATGGAATACACAGGGATACTCTGCCATCTAGTGGAGCTTGTTCAGAAGAATTTTGTGGAGTGGAATTTTAAAGGGTTATGAAATTTAAGGAAAAGATTTTAGAGTTCACACCTTTCCCTATACTAAGAAAATAAAGATTTTTAGCAGCAGAACATTCCCACGTGAGCTAGGTTAGTGAAAGTTTAGACCTCCTGATTGCTCCCAACTGAGCCAGATACTCAACAATGCGGTTGCATTTTGAGGTTTGTTTCAGTGTAAACAAGATTTAGCCCTTTTCTGTTCCGTTTGGTTTTTGTTAGTTCCCCCTCCCCAGTCTGAGACAGATTAAAAGAGTCTTGTAAATCCTCTTAGTGGCTACATCAGGTTTCTTCATATTGCATACATGGGCCTGTTGGTGGGTGTTGAAATACGGAATTTGGTGCCCTATATTTTAAGGGAAGCCGGTCATGTCCCTCCCATGGACACTGATGGCTGCATAAAGACATTCCACTTCTAATTCCTACATTGCAAACTCTCCCAGCAACCTCCTCTATTTCAGCCTTTTCACACAATGGATTTACCAAAATAGATGGCTAAGAAATCATTTGCTAAAGTGAGAGTGCAGTTATTGCAAAAGCTGAGTCTGCACTTAGATAGGGAGAAAAAGATGTGTTTTCAGATCTCCTATGCCATAATTTGGGAACAGCTGGTCCTGTCAGACTGAGGTTGCATTTTCCACTGCAGAACAGAATTTATGTGTGTTGACAAAGCTGGGTGAGGAAGTTTTCTAACTGCCTTCATGATTTGTTTCTAAGTACTGTTCATCTTTCAGGTCTGTGGCCAGAAATGTCATTACCTCCATTTCTTTCCAAGTGGCAATTTCCCATTTGCTCGGGACTGCAACTGTCTCCAGGGCCAACTCATGTTTAAAACCAGTATGAAGTGCTACTACATCAAATATATAAAACTTAAAAATGTGCCAAAACAAAACCCAAACATCTTCAATATTTGTCTCGAATCTCTTTTGTACCTGAGTCACAGAATACTCAAACTTGGATGGGACAGTGACGTTGGTGTTCACTTATGAAAGTACTACAGAATCATTCACGGGACATTTCAGACTCCTAAATAATACAGGGAAACTTACTCTTTCATCCCCTGCCACCTACTTAAGCTTTTATTTGGAGGCAATGGGGCTCATAATCAGCAATATAAGGAACTTCGAAGAAAAAACAACAATGTAAGGAAGTGCAAAGAAGATGCCCAACCCTGGGGAAAACAAAAGGATTGCCTCTTATTCCCCACTGAATTCAACAGCCAGCTTTTTCTTTAACAGATACAGCTAACAATTGCAAACAGCTGCAGATTTATTTCTGTGGCAGGTTCACACTTCCCCCAGATGAGCACGGGGCTCAGTATCCATCAGTGTATTTGGGTGATATTTTGACTTGCCACAGTTTTTGCATTATTGAAATAAATCCTCTGTCTTCATCTTTCCTTTTACAAGTCAAAAATAGAAGCATTTGCCTTCAGTGAGAACACAGTATATGCTGACACACTTAACCAAAAGCAAATGAGGAAAAGCTGCAGATTTATTTACTCTGAGATCCTTAAATAGCTTCTGATAGCTCTTTTCTGACTTGGCTTTTTCCACCTTTCTGTCTCAAATACAAAGATCAATCAATTGATTTGTCTGGCTGCTTTATGTCTCAGTAAAATTTCTACATTTGTTTAATTTCAGTAGATCCAGAGATAGACCATTACAGAAGACGGAGTTTAAGACTTTTAGAATTCTTGGCCTTTTCGTATTTACTTGACTGTCAAGTTATAAATCAACTTTTTAATTCTCTTGCTAAGATCAGAGAAACCTTAATTTGAAACAGAACTGTATTTAGATTTATATCACTGCCTCATTTAATTTGTTCAAGGTTCATACTTTGGTCATCCATGGTTTTAGAAGTTCACTCCATTTGTAACACATTAATACAAAGGGAATTAAAATAGTATCAAGGAGCATTTTTTCTACATGAATGACTAACCAAATATATCCCCTCAGTTACTAGACCTGTGGAAAATGGAAGCATAGCATTCTGAAAGTACATTAATACCTTATTCTTTATTTCAAATGCAAGCCTGAGTTTGAGGAGTTCAATATATATGGCCATATCTATTTTGCAAATACATTCTAGTCAAGCTAACTCCACTTATTTTATATTATTGCTGAATTGTCCGTTCTTATGTTATTTTATCAATTCTATAGTGTCACTGGGCTCCTAAGTGGACACACTGTGTTATTTTCCAGTAGTATTTCTTCTGAAAAATCAGGTTACCCATTTTTTATTACAGACTTTTCCCTTGTTTTCATTCTTTCTCCTCCATTTGTTCCACATTTTAACTCTGAAGCAGAATACAAATACAACAAAGTTCCTGTACCTTCAGATAATTTGAACCAAAACTAGCAGCTAGCAGCATTTAGTTCCATGTTTATAAATATTTTCTGATACATCTGTGTCCTACTGCAAAATGTGCATTCTTTGCATTCCCTTTCTCTGAAAGAAATATGTGTGTACCTTTTTTTCTGGATCCTTTCAATACTTTGAAGGCACCTTACCTGGCTGGTAGACAGAGGGTTTTATGCTGGCAGTAGTAACAACTCTTGGTTTTGAAGTACCAGAAGCAGCAGGACTTTCACCGTAGCTTCCAGAAACTGGCATTGGTGTATATGACTGGCTTGTGTTTCTAAAAGCAAAATGTAGGTGTGAACAACTTTATAAACACCAAAAGTTACCGATAACGAAGTAGCAGATCTGGCAGCGTCCAAAGCACTCCAAGAGGAGCAGTCTGTGAGAGCTACAGAGAGAACACTGTGAGATTCATCAGTCTATCATTGCTAAGAAAGGCTGGGACAATTGTATTAGCTGAGTAAGGATTTTAAATAATGCCAAGTTTGCTCTTGTTGTCACAGAAAATAGCTTACTAAGGGAATATGACAAATTTGGAGCTCTCAGTCTAACAAGGGATCAGATTTCAGGAACCTGCACACCAAGTTTGTGTTTTCTGTCCCTCTGCAAACAGAAAGGCCTGGTCCCGTATAAGATAAATCAGTGAGAGATATCTTGACTTAAAAATATACTGGCTCAGCACAATTACTACTACTACAAATGCTAATTACTGTTTATATGTGTCATACTCCTTTCAAAAACATTGTAATGACCTCTAAAAAATATTTCTAAAACTAACTCCTTTCCCATTTAGACTGAAATCACAATTTCTGTAAGTTTTCCTGATGCTCCAGTTCAGCCCACCCAAAAACCACGTGATAGGCAATATTATGACACAATTTCTGCATTCCTAGATTAAAAACATTTGCTCAGAATTCCAAACATCCATAAGGAACAGTTCTTCTCTATTTCATGGCTTGGCCAGCAATTCTCAGTTTGAGATTTGAACACATTGAAATATATGCCTCTTCTCTTTGCCTTGGGATGACTCTGTTTGTAGTGTCTGTGCTTCACAGACCAGTAAAAGAGCATCACAATCGAAGCAAGCAAGAGAGAAGAAAGAAGTACAAGGAGGGGAAGCAACAGATACCCAGAGGTGAGCAGTGAGAAGAACCGTTTTCTACAGAACATTGCCCATACTCACCCTGAAAACACAGCTTTATTCCTGAAAACACAGCTTTATTTTCTTTTGCCCTTCAGCTTCACTCTCTGTGTGAACCACACCCCTATCCATTTGTGCTGACAGTTTAGGGGTTATTTACTTTCCTATTGTCTATAGGAAAACATTTGTCAGCACATGAAAACAAGTGTCCAGCTTTGCCAGACTCTTGGTCCATCTTGACTTTTACATTCTTTAACAGTGGGAACAGATGCCATCTGGAGAAAAAATGTTAAAATCGTATGTGGCAAAGCCAGTGAATTTCTGCCAGTACAGGTAAAACTCAAACATTCGGACAAACAGAAACTTAAGTGATTTTTAATTTTGAACAAAATAAACCTATGCTCACAATGTAGCTTTTTGCTGTTCTGGCAGTGCTTCTGCTATGGATTTCGTTTGCACAGCATTGTGCCTCAGGCTAATTAATTTTGTCTATTTAGCAAGACTTAGAAACTCAGCTATTGCTACAATGGCTATAGCGAATTATTTCTGTACCTACTCTGGGGCTTAGGGCTGCATTTGGGTCCACTATACCACGAGTGAACAGCACTCTCCAAGAGAAACCATTTTAGGGCATTTGTATTCACTGTAAGTCCTGTTGTGAACTGTGCTGTGATTTTGTAACAGCCAAAGCTGTTCTAGGCACACTAAAACTTTTTATTTTCCATTTTTACCATCTATTTCCTGTTGATACCTTCCCATCTGTAATGCCTAAGAACACACTGTAATGGGGGTCAGTGGACAGAGGGTTATTGCTGCTCCCACAGCACAGACAGGGACATTGGCTTCACATACACCTTTCAAAATTACCTTAACACACCAGCTATAGAATTTTCCTAGGTTTAAAATCTGCTATTCAAAGTAAACCAGACAGATCAGCGCCTAATATTTACAATGTGGATTAAAAGATGTTAAATCGCGTGTCATACAGCCCTAATCTGAAGATGTCATACAGTCAGGAAAGTCTCCCAGATGCACAGGCCCAATGGTTGGAAAGACTCATTTGAATCTCCCTTCATGCACAGAATACATAAAGAAGTTCTGAGCCAGGTCAGTGATACTTAGACTGTCATGAAGAAAAAGGATTATTCAAAATTCAAGTTTCCCAAATGTAATAGCAATAGTGAAACCATGACACTGGATTTCTTCTGTGGTCAGAGAAATGAAGCTGACAAAACAAAACCACACACAAGCACCCCCACGTTCATAGTACCAAAGTCATAGCAAAATTAAAAGAAGTATTGAGCTCTTTTACACGTTCATGATGCACATTAAATACAGTCAGAAAGATAAAAAGGCTTGTCAAAGAGAAATAAAGTGTTACGCTACATCATTAAGGGTTTTAGTGAAGTTAAAAGATTTATCAGAATTTCTGCTGAAGAGAATGAAATAGCATGTGATTAAAAGAAAGAAAAAAAATAGAAAGAAAGAAGGTAATTAGGAAAGAATAAAAAGATGTCCCAAGGATCAAAGATGCTTTAATGGATCAGGAAGCACTGAAAAGCAGTGAAAGCAACCCTACTGAATTTATCTGTAGCAGTCAATGGCATGTGACAGGCAGCAAATTAAATTCTGGCTCTGAAAACTATTAGTTGTCAGAAAAAGAAAGAGTAAATTTCTAAGCAGATCATTTTTATGTTAACGCTTTACTAGATGCTTACTAGAAGCAATAAACTGGTTTGTTAAGTGCTTTTAAGGTAGAGTAGCTGCACAAAACGTTTTTATACCTCTTCTGTGACTGGTAGCTGATGGAAGTGGAAGAATGCCGGTTGAAACTAAAATGAGACAAAAGTTGTATTTGAAAACATATACAAAAAAATTTGGGATATCTTGTCCTACCATAAACTTCCTATGAATAAGAGGTGCTCTTAAGCGCTAAAGTAAACAACATGTACATATTTATACGAAGAAGAAGTGCTCTTAAGTGCTAAAGAAACCAACACGGACATATTTATAATCATATAAGATTGGTATTACATTACATTCTGTTTTCTCATTTAAAGCTAGGAATCAGAGTGAACCCTGAATAATGGAGGTGAGTATATTGCTCCATAAGTCACTCTCATCCTGGTCTGCTTGTTATTTGGTTGTGGAATTTCAATTCAGCCACTGGACTGTTGGATTTGACATTCACCATTTATTTGTATTAGCACAAAAAAATAAGTATGAGGGGTTTTTTTGTGATTGTCATAAGCTTAAATTGCAGCAAATCTAAGAAGCAAACCTTGAATGAACTAAAGGCCAAAGACAGGTAAGTTTCCAGCTTATGAGGCAGCTGGGAGAACCCCATGGAAAAGACAGGCTGGAGAAGCTGAAGCAAAAACCCATCACGTTTAACTGTGCCCTTGCAGAACCATTCTACTGTTACGGGGTCGTAGGTAAACAGGTAGATTTTTTTTTTTCCTTGGGGAAACAGCATCATTTCAGAACATAAATGAGTCATTTATGCAAATACAGGAAGTACTTAAAAGCCTGCACAGTGTATGGTGTGAGGAACAAGAGGATTCAGAAGGAACACAGCTCCTGTCTCAGTGTGGAGGAATCAACGCCCATCCCACGGCAGCACAGCCCACACTGGCCACAATTACCAGAAGCCTTTCACATGCCAGTTGTTGTCCTAACTCCTGGAGAAGTTTTTCTTCCCTTTACCACAGACACAGTGCTTGGATTAAAATCTCAGGATTGGAAGCAATACCTTTCTTAAAACCATAATTGTAACTCTTTCCACCGTTTCTCCTGGTTTTGCCTTCCCAGAGTGCTGTCTCATGGGGTCCCCTGCTTCTACCCTCCAGATGCAACAACAGATGCATAAAGACCTTTAAGTTTATTTAAAACTCTCCTGCTGTGCTTTGTTCTTTGTAAGCAAGAACATAAGTAAAACAGATAACATTTCAGATGTGAGAGTAACACAATCAGTTCAGGATTAATGACTTATTCAAACATTCCTCTTTAGGAACATTAGAAAGATTTTACTCAGGTTAGGTGTTATGCATATGGCTTTGCTAACAGAAGCAAATTACTATAGAACTGGATCTACCAGCGTTTTAAATCACATTCAAATAGTTAAGGATATTAAGATATCAAGAAATCCTCCTGCATTTTCTTGGTGGATCTTTTTCAGCCATCTAGAAGGAAGAAAACCCAACCCAAACACTGGAACAATGGTGGTAAAATCTCAGCCTCATCTTCCTGAGAATGTTTTCCAGGATGGGGACAGAGTTGTAACTCATGTCATCCATATTTTATTCTGGAATAAAACTGTTTGAAATGCTCAGTGCTTCTCTGGTATATGTCAAGTTGAAATGGATTTTTAAGTCCACACTTTGGCATGCTAAAGCATTGTTTAACTTCTAAATGAAAACTATCGGATGCTCAAAAATTTGACTTATAAATTTGTTTAGAAACCAGTTTGGTCCCTTATGTTTGAATACACTACTTATAACATACAACAGTTTTTAAAACAAACATGGAAGTAGTTCCCAAAGATATTTCAACTGCAACACAGCCCTCCAAAACCAACCAACCAAACTGAGCTTGCTCCTTGTACCTGATGATCAGGGAACCAAATTTTCACAGGCCCTACAAGTTTCCTATTTGCCTTTATGTCCCAAGGCTTGCTGAAGCTCAGACAGTAACATCTGCTTGTTGGTAACAGCTTGAAGTGCATGTCAGCATCAAACCTTGTGTCACCCAGGGCAGCAGCACATGAAGTTGATGTGCTGTAGATCTTTGACTTAAATCATTGCCAGGCACAAGCAAGAGGTTTTAGTAGTCCGATTAAAGCATTGCTTTTTCGAAAGAACAGCGATTTTTCGTAGATTCACAGAATCTTTCAGGTTGGAAGAGACCTCAGGAAGAGTCTTATCTAACCTCCTGCTGGAACAGGGCCAGCTCTGAGGTCAGATGAGGTTGCTCCACCTTTTATCCAGTGATGTCTTGAAAACCTTCAAGAATGGAGTCACACAGCCTCGCCAGACAACTCATTTCCTTTCAAAGGGGCAGGAAAGGGGAAAATGCTCCATGCCAATCTAGTGCAGGAAATTTACTTCCAGTTCAAATGTCTTAATATCTCAAGGTGATCTTTTTATCCTCATTACTCATTAAAATTGTTTCACACTGATTAGTCCATATTGATACATAAACAAAATGAATTCATAGTTTTAAAATGTCAAACCCACAACATTTACATTAATTGGTTAGCTGTTTTTATGTAAGTTATACCTAGTTGCTGCTTAACTTGTCCCTGCCTATTGCATGGGTATTGAAACTAGGTGATCTTTAAGGTCCCTCCCAGCCCAAACCTCTCTGTGATTCTATGATTTTCAAGACAGCAATGAAAACACAGCACTTATGGAATATTTATAGGGGTCCAACGATGGAGAGTGGTGAAATGTGAATACATGGGCTCTGTCTGGCCAGTCACCAAAGCTTCAATTTAATTTCATCTTCTGACTGATGGATATATTTCAGTCTTCAGCTGAGAGAAACCCTAAGATCAAGTGTTTTCTGTAGCTCAGAAGAAATAATAGGCTTTGCATGCCAGTGTTCAGTCAAGCTCAAGTATGCACAGTTATTAATGTTTTGAAAGGCAGGGACCTTACCTGAGGATAAGAGGCTTTTAACTACAAGAGTCTAACTGTACCAGAAGATTGAACAAAAAAGTGTTAGGTATTACTTCTGAAAAGCAGAGTACTCTCCTTTGTGACAAGCAATATGGTAAGAGCAAGCGGCCTCAAGTTGGCCAGGGGAGGTTTAGACTGGGTATTAGGAAAAAAATTTCTTCACCCAAAAAAAAGGGCTATCAAACATTGGAACAGGCTGCCCAGGGAAGCGGTGGAGTCACCGGCCCTGGAGGTATTTAAAAGACGTGTATATGTGGCACTTAGGGATGTGGATTTGTGGTGGACTTGGCAGTGCTGGCTTAACAATTGGACTTGATCTTAGAGGTTCTTAAACAATTCTATGATTCTCACAATGTGAAAATTAGGTCCTCTTAATGGATACCTCTAAATAGCTCATCACTTTGGAATTTTGAAAGTTCACACATAAAACTAGAAGTCAATGGCAGTAAACACCCCTGCATCTGTTTTATCTTCTATTCCCAGTAACATTCCGGTGACATTCACCAGCTCTTGAAACTAGTTATGATTAGTGTACTTCCACTCAAATAATGGAATTACATCAGCAGTTAATTTTATTTCATATGTTTTATTAGCTCCATACTGGAATTACTTCCCCTATGTAATTCCCATGGCTGTAAACAGACATGTTTACATTCTAAAACTGAAAACTCTCCGTTGTGTTCTGGAGCTGTTTCATTTTTGCATTGGTTTCAGTCATGTGACGCCAACAAAGCTGCCTTAAAGTACTACCTATGCACAGCACTGAACTGCCATTTTCTGAGATTTTCTGAGAAAGACCATTATACTTCTTGATGTGAAGCCATCACACTTGCACACTTTGTTCATTCTGAAAATCCCCTTTGGGTGATTCCTAACTGCCTTCTTATATAGCGATAAGAAGGACATGGGTGATTACAATCTCAAAAGTACTGCTAGTTTTTTGTTATTTCCAAAGACTGTTCAAATTTTAAAATCTACTGCTTTCTCCTCTGTTAGTGTTGTCAGAGGGTTAATGAAAGCAGTGAAAAGGTTTAGAAGTGAGGCAGTACAGCAGCATCCTCTCTTTCCAATAGCAGAAGCTACCTTTCCCTTTCCCTATCACTGGTCTTTCACTAGTCATGATTAAGAGCATAATAAAAGGTTTGTCATCCTATGTTTTAACCAAGAAAAAAAAGAAGGTCCATCATTCCCACCCAATGTAACTAGACAAATATTTTGATTTTAGGATGGCAAAAGCGGCACAAACCAACCAACTGAAATACTTTTGTTCCAAAAGGACATTTTGGTCACATATCCTGTATCTAAAACTTAGTTGTTTCCCAGCTCGGTTTTCATGTGAAAGATAAGGAAGGAGGCTACTGCTTCAAACACATCATGCTTTCAACAGTCTGCCAAGTCAATCTCTTAAGAAACTGAAAATCTTATATCAGAGAGCATAATACAAATCAAACCAAATTAAGAGAGCTTTACAGATATACCTAGACTGAGATGAGATAGCAGATGAAATAGTGGAAGCTGCTAATGACATGTTCTTGGACCCATGGAAAGGCTTAGGCTGTGAAAGAGAGCTGGGGGCTGCAAGTACTCTGCAGGAGACACAGTAAAAGCATGAAAGCATGAACAAAATGATTGAACAGGGACAAAAATCATGACATCACAAGCAAGCTCTGTCAGAGTTCAGATACAGGAGCACTGCTGCATAGTTACCAGGAACAGGTTTTCTGTAGCATACATCTGCAGACTTACAGAATAGCACAACCAAGCACATTCCTACAGAACACAAGACAAAATGCACACATTATGGAAAAATCTTAAAACCAGACTCTACTGATAACTACGAAAGACAGTATTACAGGACAGGACTTTGTCAATGATACATGCTTTTATCTGCAAGATCTGAAGATGTTTGAGTCTGAATACAAGATAAAAATTTCAATATGCAAACAGTACCAGACAGAAGATTCTCCCATTTAAAACAAAAGTAATTGGAATGATTAGTTTTGTAGAGGCATTTTTTTTTATTTGAAGCATATACCAGTCAATCCATTTTCTTCATGCTACAATTTCAACAGAGGGATAAAAGCTACTTAAACCTTATCATTATTTCACGTGAAAGTGCCTTACAGCTCAGTTCTGAATTACAGCATAATACCTTATTCAAACCTCCTCTGCTGGCTGATTGATTTTCTTGCACTGGAATAAAAACACTGGATGCTGGTGGGTCTTGATTAGGTAAAAACTGACTGAAGTGAGAAACTGAGTAGTTGGTATACATACATAATGCAAGTCAATTGGCAAAAATTAATCAAGAAGTAGAGCCAAGAGAACAATTCCAATTCCATTTACACACATCTAGGATGACTGGCTACAGCTGAGGTCTTGATTAAAGTCATTTAGATTACTGAAAGTGTGCTTTTCCTTGGATTTTTAAAGCATGCTAAAACATACATCTTTTCAGAATATTCATGTAGCAAACCCCAAAGATAAAAGGATAATTCACTCTAAAGGAATTTACTCTTACTATCTCCAAAATTACTGTAATGTAAGTGACAGCTGTATAAATCCCACAGGTTTCCTCACATGATGTCTGACAGCTTTTAATATACAGCTGTAACTCCCACTGTACTACAGGTGTTACAAGTGCTCATCTCCTTAAAACTCACTCCAGCTCTAAGGCTAATTCTCATTAGAGAAACAATATTAATGGATCTAATAGAAATTACTTAACTTACAGAACAAGTCAATCCCCAAATGTCCACCATGTTTTACTGACATCTGCTGTGATAGGGTGTGCTCAACCACGTGAGTAAACGACGCTTTTAAATTCTCATTTTCATGTCCTACTGCAGAAAGGCTATTAAAAGAACCTTCATTCACACTATTAAAAGAATCTCCACTCTCTATAACTATTATGAAGAGCTGTTTTGGCTTTATTACAAGCGGTGAAAAAACATTTCTAGTTTTAACCCTAGACTTGCTTTCTGAAAATGGAGTTACATTTTGGGGGCAGTTTTATTTTGCACATTCATTGCAAGCGTGAACAAGGTACCTCAAAATAAAAAAAACCCCACAACCCACCAAAATATATAAAAGCATATAAAACAGGTGGCAGCTTTTCGTACCACATTCTGAAGTGAAGAATGTGTATGCAGCATTTCCAGGGCCATATGGGGGGATAAAGCATTGAAGCATTACCTTTGGAAGGAGGATGAGAACGACTCCTGCACTACTGAGGTGCTTGCAGGTGGTGTCATCAGGCTGGCTGGATTTTGAGCAGCAGTAGCAGGCTGAGGTGCTGAAGCATGTGGTGCAGGAGCAGCAGGACTGGTAGACACCGGAGCATGCTCAACAGGGGTGCTAATTAGACTTAAATTAAATAAAACAAGAAGCATCTTAAGAAGGCACACATTTAAATGTAGAGCACAAAACCTACTATGTTTGAACCTGCAAACATAGTAGCAGGCTGGGTTACTGAAGGAAAAGCACAGTTATGCAAAGAAAAAAAAAAAAGACATTTGTTCAGCCTTTTCTGCTGTGCAGCTAAGCTGGAATGCAGCTTTGGTCCTGCTTGACTGACATTTATCCCAGGTGTTACCCAGCACTTCAGTCCTGCTCCCAATGAAGCCAGTGGTAGGAAATGCTGCATGGAGGAATTAAATGGTTGGAAGGAGCATGTCACAAACTCTTTGAGCTCGGATAAGTTGCATCCAATATTTACTCCTGGAACTGAAGTTTGTATTAGTGTAAACTTTTTAATTAGATGAAGAAAAGCAATTTACAGGATATTATCACAGTCCTGTGCCAGCAGGTTTCCTGCAAATGCTGATAGAGTAGAAATACAGTCAGCACAGTTTTGTGTTGGGTTTCATCAGTTTTGTGCAACCTGGGTAGTGGAAAGATGTTTAAAAGGAGTCCTTCATCTCTAACCTAAATTCACCTTACATTATGCCACCCAGCACAAACAATGAGATGCCCTTTTAAACACAGAACAACATACAAAATACAAGGGGATGATGTAGCACAAAATTTTACTGTGCTAGTTTTAAAACCACGTGGGTGATGAGCATGAGTTGTTATCCTCATGTCCCTCTTGCACTATTGTGGCACATATAGCTTGGAGCAAAGGAATATTAATATTTTCTTCATTTTTTCTTGAATTGATTGCAAACAAATGAATTTAAATGAATAATAATAATCTAGTCTGGTATCCTGTGGCCATTTTAGTAAGCTACTGAAGTACCAGTGTCTCTCATCAGCCAGGGCTTATGAACATACTTCAGCCTGAATTACTCATCCCTTACAGACAGACAAATGGGGCCAAGTCATCAGAGAGCTTTTCAACATAGTTTAGTCAGAGCCATCCACTGTTTCGAAAAGAACCAATCTTTTGGGAGGTTCAGTTTATTGTCTTCCACTAGCTCTTATATCAAATGAAAAAAACAACAACAACAACAACAACAAAAAACAACAACAAAAAAACAAACAAAATAAAATCACTAAAAACACTCAAGTTATTTGATGACTGTTTTACTGAACTTAATATCAACAGAATAATAATATAAATAATAGGTCCATTCATGATTTGCTTGTCAATAAACCTAGTAAAAATAATTTAAAGTCATTTAAAATTCAAAAAGGAGGAAGAAGAAAAGAGAAAAACTTAATTATTTTGTGTTTAGGCAGATTTTACTGTAGATCTTATTAATTATTATCCACAGAACAAATAAGCCACTGAAAAATAACAAATTGAAACACTATTTTGGGGCAGAAACTTTGATGACAATATAAGCATATGTCCCCTAGGCATAAAGGATATTTTTCTTGATGCCTCATTCTACCTCATATTTTCTTTTGCTTCTGTCAAAAGCACTAACTTGGCAAGCTACACTCCTTAGGACCTAGAGTGAGTGCTTGGTACTTCAAAATTTGTGATACCCCTTGTGCTCAAAGGGACTGTCCCATTTCCCCCGTCCTTCTCTTCTTGTGTGGCTCAGTAGTCTAAATAATGGTGCCAGTTATGTTTGGTTTGATCAGCTGAAACAGAAGCGTGGTTGTTATAACAACCCATACATTTCAAAGTAGAATGCAACCCACAACAAAAGCAGAAAATCAGTATTTTCTCCCTTATGAATTTCATCTGCAATTATGTACGTAAGAAGTGGGGTCCTGAAAATACCCAGTTTGCAATTCTGGGTTTCAAATCATTACACCAAGTTTTGCAACAGTTTTGCAAAAGTTTGTCCATCGTAACATGCAGTTGAAATTCAGAGCAGTTTTTCCATCCTGATGCATTTTATGATGTAAATTCTTCCCATTAACAAATAGACCATCAGTTACAAAGCCTATGTAGCAGAGCAGCTGAATATTATCCATCACAACTATGGGTCACAGGGGACTCTGAGTTTCAATTCCCACAGGATTTTTTTTCCCCCTGTGCCACAGTGGGCACTGGAACTATCACATGAAAAGGTGTGGAGTCACAATTTAGTACTTACATATCTTTGATCTGGCAAAAAGGAAAGGAGTGCAACTATGCTGGGCACAACAGTGGAACTTCATATATGTCTTAAAAACAAACATAAACTAGGATTCCACCTATTTTGTCTATTTGCACTGATGTCAAAGGGTTGCTACAGATTTCAAAAGATTCACGACTTCCTACCTTGAAGAGGACAGTGAACTTACTTAACTGTAGCAATCTCCAAAATGTTAATCAAATACATATTCAGTGATACATATTGAAAAGAAAGTAAAAAAAACCCACAAAAATGTGTGTGAGAACGAGGACCTGGATGGAGACCGATTTGAGCAGAAAAACCCATGTAAATAAAATAAATGAAAATACACTGGAGTACATTTTATAGTTTAAAGAAAATACAAACAAATTTTGTCTTGCATGGTGTTTGCAATATTTCTTTTTATACGGTTAAAGTGTTAGGGGCTTGATTGCCTTCCTTCATGGTAGAATATATCAATTAACACAACAAGGAACTGGAGTAAATATAAATGAAGTAGATATAAACTTAAAAATCAGGGTGATTTTGTTACGTAAATAATATGCAGTTGGTAACATTCTCAACTCAGTTTTTAGAAAGATCTGAAGACTAACTTGACTGTCTTTAGTTTAACAAGTATAAATTTTAAATAATTATTTAGATAGTCAAATAAAACAACAAGCTAACTTTCTTTTTCCCTCAAGATTGCCTACTTTCTAGATTTTCAGACTGATTTTTTTTTTTTAGTTCTTCAAGTGCAGCAGAATTTTAAGAACTGATAAATGTGAGTGCTGCTTTATAAAATAGATAATCTATTGTAACACCTTCATTATTATATGTTACAGAGGGGTTTTTGTTTAGTTGGTTGGTTTTTAAATGCAGTCATTTTTGTAGATTATAAATCTTTACAGTACTTTCTATTTTAAGGAAAATCAAAGAAAAGAAAAAAAAAACCAAACATCTTCATATTTGCGGTAACAAACATAAAACTAAGTTAGGTGGATGAAAACAAACACACATCTCTTCTCAGCTGATTTTCACTCATGAGAAGGAACACAGATCAGTAGAGGTTAAGAGGATAATAATGGTTAACAACCATAATGAGAAAACACAGCAACAAATGCACTCTAGGATTTAAAAAAATAAGTGCAGATTATACTTCTTTCTCTCAGTAAAGTCCTAAGGTCTGAGACTTGCTGTCCAAATAACAATCAAGTGGATTATTAAGGCAGGACTTAGTCTCTTCTATGTAATGCATGAAGGGTTTTTTGGTTTCTAATCCTCCAATATATCACTTGTAAAGAATTGAATTTATAGGGAACAAAAATTAAAATGGATAGGGGGAAAAAAATATCTCTTACTGTACCATTTGTAGAAAAGTGCCTGAGAATATGTTTATAGAAAGCCATAACATTGAAGAGTCTTACATTTGAATATGGGAATGGTTGTAGAAATACAGTGAAAATAGAGAAATATCAGCTGCTGTTTCTCTGCTGAAGGTGCTTTATGACTTCTCTCTGTATTTTATGTGTGATCCCCAAGAGAGCCACTGAAAATGTAACACCCACACGAACTGGTGGTTGCTGGAATTTGTAGAACTTGGACACCTTCCTCTTAGGCAGTGGGCATTTCCAGCTGAAGGAGTTAGAGGTTGTTATTACCAAACCACTCCAAAGCTCCAAACCAGGTCAGTTATGCAGTTACACATCACGGTGTACCTTTGGTTACTGGAGGAAGCAAGAGAGACTTTCTGGCCAGTGGAGGTGAACCTGACCTCCCTCTGACTTGTACCCGCTCCAAGCCTCACAGAGCCCTTGGAGGCCACTGGCTTGGCATTGTCAGTGTTGGCATCCCCGGTGGAGGATTTAGGAGGATGCCAAATACTGGAGGTCACATACTGGGGTGCATGCGCGGTATCTGCAGGCCTGGGTAACAAAGATCACAAGGGGGTTTGTAAATGAGGCATTTCCCAGGGAACAGCAGGTATTTGAGGAAGAGACAGAATTCCAGCCACAGAAGAAGCTGGGGATCATCATGGTTTTGCAGATGAAGTAATGACAGATCTGATGGTTCATTAGTTTATTACTGCTTAACACCAGGAAAGGCATGAAGAATTAAAAAAGGTACCTTGTGTTAAATCTGGAAACCATATGGCTATGAATATCAAAATAAGACACATAGCAAGGCTGTGGTGATAATGGAGGTGGAGAAAAGCTATGGTATGAAAGATCACACAAGATTAAGGCAATGTAGTAACACCAGTCATAGATCAGAAATTGTTCCTGGTAAAATAAAACAATAATTAAAAGAAAAGGAGATTTCAGTGGAGCAGCTGCATAGTCCTGTAGGTGGTTTTAAACAAATGAAACTGTTGGTGAAATGCTAACGTGTTCCTTGTTTGATACACTTTAATTTATATACAGTAATCAAGGCATTTATTTCCTTCAATTTTCGTAATTAATTTAAAAATAAAATCAATTTTCCCTACTATTTCCAGGGCCGGTGGCCATTGCTTGTGTCACTAGTAACAAATAACAGTTGCACTCAGGGTTTAACTCTATGCAACCTTTGTTCAAACGTGAGCAGTCTTATAAAAAATACAAGGTGGTTGCACATCTGAGGCAGGAATCAACAGGACAGAGGAAAGCAGTGAGATGGAACTAATTTCATGACAAACTGAGAAGAGGCATTTCTTTGCTCCATGAAACTATCAGTCAGATTCACTCAAGAAGTACCTGTGTATCAGTACTTGTGTGGTTTAGTGCACGAACTAATAGAAAACAGCAAATTTCTCTCTGTAACTGCAAAATGTGCTGAGATCCTTTGAGAGAAAACAACTTAATATGAAAGAACTTGCTTACAGAGAGACTTTGTTTTGAACCTCATAACCCACTGAGGAGCAATCAATATATGCAAGAATCTGACATGTAAGCATTCTTAAAATACCAAAAATACAATCTTATTTAGATTTAAAAAATATCTTGAACAATCTAGGCAAAGTTTAAAATGGAAATGGTTCTTAAAACTCAATCACAAACTGACAATACTCCATTTCAAGAATATTTGCTAAAAACTTCTTATTTTTCAGGTTTGTGAGTTCTGAGAAACACGATCCCCACCTGTCCCATGTCACAGTGCTTCTTGAAGTCTGCATTAGAAAAAAATGCCTAGTGAACCCACTTAGTTGAAGCCTTCACAGTCATCATCTGCTCAAACAGTGTGGAGATTTCATGGTTTTGAGGTAAGAACAATATGGAGAAAGTGGAGATAAACTCTTAATAGGAAGTAAGTCAAACACAGCAAACATTACCTGTTTTCTGATGCTGCTGCAACATTTTCCTTGTCTCTGTGAAAGGAGGGATACAGTGTGAATGAAGTAAATGCAATTGCCAGTGGTGGCAAGAAAACCCACCCAAAAACAACCAAGGAGAAAGAAAATGGGCTGAGGAGAAATGTTTGGTTGCAAAAAGCATCCTAGAGTGGTTGCTCATAAATATAGTTGTGAGAAATCTCTTCAGCTTTCCAGGTGAAACCCACCAAATATATAAATTTACTGCATATTGCTTCTTATAATGTATATGCTTCTTTATCAGTTGCAAACAACTTTGCTTCAGTAATAAAGTAAAAGGAAAATTACCAGTTACAAATTAGATGTTGCATGTCTGCGTATAATGTCAGGAATAGTTTTGATTTTAATAAGTTCCCTTAAAAAAAGAATTTCAATAATATTCCAGCAGAACATATTTTGATGCCAAATCCAAGCAGTAAAACTAATCAGACTTGGGTAGTACTCAAGGATTTGGTATTTTGAAGTGAAAAAAATGGGTAACAAAGGTTCACTGAAGAAGGATTTCTTGTACTTGGTATCACTTCAAAATTCTCTGTCCTATCCAAGTACTAGTTTTCTCAATGTAAATCAGATTAGAATCAATTCCTGCACAGACAGTTCCCTCAATTAGAAATCATTCCTTCACTGAAGTGAGGAGTAAATCAGCCTTGATTTCTCTGATAGAGAACTGTGCTGTTTTTCTGTAAACACTCACACATGCTTACAGAAATAACTGACCAGTTTAAGTGCAAGCAACTGTGTATCTGTAAGGAGTTAACACAAAAGTATTTTCGTAAAGAATAGAATCCATTAGCCTTAAACTCCTAAGTTTGAAATCCAGTTAATTAAGTAATTGAGATAGTCTCAACATTTAGCAATTTTGTGGGTGGTTGTGTCCCTTCCTATTTAAGGAACTGTGCTGAAAATGACAGGTTTAAAGATGAAATATGCCAAATGAGAACAATTTTCTTAACTGGGATCTAAAATTACAAAACACAAAGCAAATGTTCTCATTTATCGAACTGCACCTTCTTTCTGAAGTGTCCTTTGGAAAAAAAAAAAAGAAAAGGGATTGTCTCTGTGTTTATGTACTTAAATATATATGTATAGTCACATACTCTTTCCTTAGTTCAGCTCTAACAAAGTTATAAAAACCAATCCAGTTTAGATCAGCAAAGGTTTGGGCACAGGTGTTCTCTACAGATTTTTAAAACCTCTAACTGAAGTGTAACCCCTAAAATATATGAACCAAAGTCAGCTTTTCAAACCTAGAAGTGGATCTGAAATGCCCCTCAGAGGCTGCTGCCTGACAGCAAATGTTACTGGGGTTGGTATGGAAGAGCCTGTCTTAAACACCCTCACGAGATCAACCAGCTCACCACTCGGAAGCAATGAGAAACCAAACACTGTCTTTGTGGTAACCAAGTTGTGAGTTCCTTGCAGGGTCAGGTAGAGCAAAGCCAGGATGAAACAAGGTAGAGGAGGATGGATTAGAGACTCTGTGTGTGTGTGTGGCAGTGTTAGCACAGCAAGAGCCGTAGTCATGCGAGGACGTTAAAGAACAGACGCAGCCTGAAAGGAATAAAGCATTGCTTGTTCCCAAGTGTTCCATGAGGGATCACAGCCAAGACCAAAAGGCAGGCAGCTGGGGTCAGGCTGAAGCAGCGTTAAGCCTCTGTTGTTATTGATAATCTGATTCAAACTTTTTTGCCCCGTTAGCTGTGGCTATACCAAAGAAGGGGGAAAAAAGTCACTTGACTTTGAGGTCAGGATTTCACAGAAGTTTTTTCCCCGAGTGTACAAAATAGGATGATGTTGAGTGACAATGGCAGGGGAGTTGTGAAGGTGAAAAAGAGAGAGAAGTATAGCAAGAATACTTCCACAGAGTAAAGCAAGAAAAGGAAGAGAGCAGAGGGAAAGATGAGTTCAAAGGCACACAATACTTCTTCATGGTGTGGCTTCCAGGAACTATTTCTCTTCCCAGTCAACAGGACTGGTTAACAGTAAGAAAGGCTCAAGATCAGTTGTGCCCCTTATTTGCAATACTTGCATTTTGAGGAACAGGCTATTGGTTTTACGGCCTTGGCAATCAAACATTTTCTCTAATTGAATGCAGAAATAATTTTACTTTTGAGTCACTGGGGCAGGCTCAGTAAAGACAATACCTTCACCACATGAAAACATTTGGCTCAGAATATTATGAGCAGTTTATATTTCTGTGGTTACACAGGCTGCTCCAGCAACTGACAGTAGTGGGCAATAGTTTTGAGCTCTCTAGAAGAGATTTAAAAATAATGTGGAGTTGTTTGTTTGTTTGCTTTTGTCTGCAGCCCTTTTATTCCGCATTGAAATGGCTTTTGATAAAAGGGCCTTTGTCAATGACCATTCTGAGAGAACAGTGCAACTCTCACAGACTTCATTACATGCTGGATATATATCTAAACAAAACTTACTTATGCAATAAACTGTCTTCCCAGTTACATGGTACAGTGGAAATCTTGAACTGTTTCCTTCTCATAAATTATGTTACAGAATATGGTCATATAGACAGAGTGACTGAAACTATAGAAATAGAGTCTTTCCCCACACACCAACAAGAATTGGTGTAACCTGCAAAATTCATTTGCAGGCCAAGCTTGTGTGTGCTATTGGGTGCTAAAAAGAGCCTGGAGACACTTAAGAGATTTTCCAAAGACTATGTTAAATCTGAACTATATGAACTGGACATGGGAATACTTTCCTACTCTACTTTATTTTCGGAAACCAAGTGTAAAAGATTCCCAAACACGTACATATAACTGGCAAGGTGAAATCTGGAGCTTGTGCACCTTCCATCTGCCTTCTCTTTAGATGGTATCAGGTGTTTAATGAAGACCTAATGACATAAGAAACATGAGGCATCCTGAGAGACCACATGGTCCTTCAACTCTGTCTATCAGGACTGAAGCAGTAAGTGAAAACTGTAATTGAGTTTTTCCTCCATACTCTCAGGGAGCAAGACTATTTTTCTAATTTCACAAATGAGAAACTAAAATGTATTAATAAAACTTATTAATAAAACTTATTAGAATTGCTCATGGTCACAAAGAAGGTCTTCAGCAGTACAAAGAACTGAAATAAGATCTCCTGAATCCCAGATGAGTATTTATAATATCAGCTCACTCTCTTTAATGAGAGATTATAGATTTTTTAATAAATATATCTATTCAGTTTATTGGTATTTTCCTGTATTAGTCATCTAATAGTCTTCTATAGAGCCTGACAGGTATATACTGGCCTTTTTTCAAAGGGGAAGTAGACTTACAGATTATTAGAGCCTACACCTATTGAAATTAAAAATTCTGGTTTTCTAATAGTATGGTGCGGATTTGTAGGACTTAGACTTACATCCTGATGTACTTATATTTACATAAGCATATTTCCCTACAAATAAAATTTCCTTTTAGGAAGTAAAAGCTACAAAATAACTTTAAAAGAAATTTTTTATAGGGCGTCTGGAGGTAAAGCTGCATGAAAGTTATTTTGTAATTGCCTTTCAAACATTTTTTTGTCTCAAAGGCGTGAGACACTGACACTGGACACCGAGCTACATTAACTGCTGTTCTGATCCAATGAGGTTATTTCTACCTTTCTGTGTTTGCAGCTGAGAACTTTTCCATGGCTAGATGACCGTAAAACTATTGAGAATCTTTGTCTTTTTTTCCCCCCACGCTATATTTTTTTATTTCAACACAGACATCCTAAGACACACAAAGAAATCATAGGCAGTTAACAGAGAGGACAGAAGACAACTATCATGCTGGTTAGTTAAAACTTTAGCTTGGAATCAGAATAAAAAGGGGTAGAAGAGCTAATCTCTCTTTTTCAGCCACTGTAGTTAAGAATGTGAGCAGCCCACGCCAAAACAATTGCAATATATGCTCCTAGTATGTCTGCTTCCCAAATCAGGGAAATACATTTCTCCCAGAAGGCATCCTGGTTTGTGCAGACAGTGCCACAGAACAGGAAAAGCATCATCATAGGTTCAGTGGGAAAACAACCAGCAGCTCATTCTCACCAAGTAGTATGGAACTCAGTCAAAGCAGCTCGCCAGAATCAAAGCCACCACCTCCCATGAACGCATTTTAGTGGCACCTGCGGGTTTGCTGTTAAGTGTAACAGTCACACAATAAATGCAGCTGGGCACACAGCACCACTGGTGTTGGGGAAAGGCAAGGCCACTCTTTCCCAAGATTTGCAGAGTGATATTTGCCATGCAAGTATATGTACTCCCAATTTTAAATTTTATCACAAAAGACTGCAAAATTCAGAGCATGTGCAGCAATTTGAGCTGAGACTTAACTCACATAATTATTGCCTATCTTGGCCTTAAGTGTGCAACTGGACTGAACTGAATGATTTGGTCCAGCTTTCTACAGCCCCACTGGTAAACTGCAGGTGTCTGCCACCAGGCACCTGAGCACAGGATCTGGACTTTCAGGCTGTGCTTGTCACCATTACACACAAAACCAGTGCACAACAAGTTCAGGTTTTGTACGCCAGGAAACAGTTCCCCTTTCACTGAAGTGTTCTTTCTCCTCATGACTTCCCTTTTCTCCAGGGAAGCTGCGACAACAAAACTCAGAGATCTAAATTTCAGCTGGTAGTTCTTTTAGACCTACTTTTTAGTTTGTGCACATTGATGATGAGAAAATTCATACTTCTTCTAGGTGGCATTATGCTAAGTTTGCAGCTGCCTCTGAAATACAGCAATGTGTCTGTGCTGTTCTGTTCCTGAATCAAGTAACTAAGTGGGATGAATTTGGACACTTGTCATTCTTTCAGAATGTGGATTGCATTTTATTTCATAAACTCTCTTAAGGGTTTTCTTACCTTCCCTCTCCCTCATTTGTAATCATATAATATTCTGGGTCAGCTACAACAAATGCTTATGTGGAAATGAACTATTAGGAAGTTATTAGTATTTAGGGTAATTTTGCTGACATTAATGCAATTTAGAAGCAGAATAAAAGGAAGTA